TTCATCAGCAGAACTCTTAGTTCTGTGTTTGGCGTAAGAATGCCGTGGCCAGATTCCCGTGGCACAGAGGGTCGAGAGCTCCGCCAAAGCCTGTTTACCTCTGCTCCCCCATGTGTGTTGTCCCTGCTGGCTCTCCTCCACCTCGTCCACATTTTGGCCCACAGGAAGAGGGGGATGTGGAGGGCGGGCAGCCTCCATAGGCTGCAATCCACAGGCTGCACCCCGCATTTCCACCCACATCTCATTGCCTGGCACTGCTCGGGTTCAGGGCTGTGCCTGTCGTTGAGGAAGGCTAGGACTGTCAGCCCCAGCACTGCAGCCATGGGCCCAGAAACTGGGCGGCTGGGGAGAGCATCACAAAAGGGAAGAAGTGGGCCAGGCGCCGTGGCTCATACCTGCGATCCGAGAGCACTTTTGGAGGCTGAGGCGGACAGCTCATGAGGTCAAGAGTTCCAGACCAGCCTGTCCAACATAGTGAAACTCCATCTCTACTAAAGATACAAAACATCAGCCAGGCGTGGTGGCATGTACCTGTAATCCCAGCTACTCAGGAGGCTGAGGCAGGATAATCATCTGAACCCGGGAGATGGAGGTTGTATTGAGCCAAGATTACACCATTGCACTGTAGCCTGGGCGACAGGGCAAGGTTCTGTCTCAAAAAAAAAAATGGGAAGAAGTGGGCATCCTACAGAGGATGGCGGGCTGCTGTACCTGGCTCTGGGTTTGGCTCTTTTAACTCCTTGGATCCTCAGAAACTCAGAAAATAGATAACACCTCAGCCCCATTTTACAGGGCAGGACAGTGAGGCCCAGTGACTTGCCCAGGTCACAGGTCGTCTAGAAGGTGGCAAGGTCCAAACTCGGTTTCTGGGTGGCAGGGCACTGGAAGAGACCCCTAGGGCGGACGGTGTGCCCGAAGCAGCTGCAGGTCAGGCCTGGGGACTGCCCAGGGCACCTCCTATGCAGAGATGGCAGTGACGGGCGGCCCTGACTGTTAATAGACTCCGCATTTGAGAATCTGTTCACTTGCTAAGATTTATTTCTAATCCCCAAATAAATATCTGCCCTGCTTTTGGGCAACAAATTCAAGTCACCTGACACCAACTTTCCCAGCTAAGTGTGAATGAGACCAGGCTGTCTGCTCCCTTTAGCTCTCATGTCATAAGTGTCCTTGTTGTATTCTGTTGAGTGCTACGTTTGTCGCTTTTGTTTTTTGAGACAGGGTCGTGCTCTGTCACCCAGGCTGGAGGGCAGTGGCACGATCATGGCTTATTGCAGCCTCAATGCCCACCACACCCAGAAACACACACACACACATCAGCCCCCTGCCCCCAGCCTCAGCCCTCTGTCCTCAGCCTCCTCAGTAGCCGGGACCATGGGTGTGCACCACTCCGCCTGGCTAATCTTTGTTTTTGTTTTTGTTTTGAGTTAGAGTCTCGCTCTGTTGCCCAGGCTGGAGTGCAATGGCGCTATCTCGGCTCACTGCAACCTCTGCCTTTTGGGTTCAAGCAATTCCCCTGCCTCAGCCTGCTGAGTAGCTGGGATTACAGGCACCCACCACCATGCCTGGCTAATTTTTCTGTTTTTAGTAGAGATGGGGTCTCACCATATTGACCAAGCTGGTGTTGTACTCCTGACCTCATGTGATCCGCCCACCTCAGCCTCCCAAAGTATTGGGATTACAGGCGTGAGTCACTGCGCCTGGCCTATTATTTGGTTGTTGTTTTTGTATGTTTTGTAGAGGTGGGGTTTCGCCATGTTGCCCAGGCTAGTCTCAAACTCCTGGGCTCAAGTGATCCGCTTGCCTCAGCCTCCCAAAGTGCCGTCAGTTTTTTGTGCCTTTTTTTTTTTTTTAACTTTTTTAGGGCCATTTGTTGGTGATTTTGCTGTGAAATGTTCCCTGAACACCGCGCGGAACTGCTGTGTAGCCTGACAGAGGCAATAACGGGCACTTTGCTGAGCCCATGTTAGAATGCTGTTGGCGTGAGCTCCATGTTAGAGAATTAACAGTGATATTACATAATAGACACACAGAAATGAGGCCGGGCATGGTGGCTCACGCCTGTAATCCCAGCACTTTGGGAGGCCGAGGCTGTTGGATCACGAGGTCAAGAGATCGAGACCATCCTGGCCAACATGGTGAAACACTGTCTTTACTAAAAATACAAAAAATTAGCTGGGCATGGTGGCACACAGCTACTCAGGAGGCTGAGGCAGGAGGATTGGTTGAACCCGGGAGGCGGAGGTTGCAGTGAGCCAAGATTGCCCCATTGCACTCCTGCCTGGCGATAGAGCGAGACTCTGTCTCAAAAAACAAACAAATGAAAAAACTGTGTGGAAACACACATAAATGAAAACACACATCGACTAAGATTACATGTATATTGGTTGATGAAAATATTGTGACTAGGGGCTTGAGAACTTAACCCTGTATATTCCACTGGGAGCAATGGCTCAGGATTGGCCAGTCGGTGTGTTTACGGTGACTTCCTGGAACTTCACTACTGTGAATAAGGAGACCTAGCTGTATCCCCTGGCACCAGCCCTGGGCTGGCCTCACTGCAGCAGGGAACAAGACACGTGAGGTCCCCTCCTTTGTGGAGCTTTATGTCCAGCACGGGAGTTGGGGGCTTGATCCAGTAATCCTGGAGGCAGAGATCTAGCTTAAAGCAGCCTGGCTCTGCAGAAGAGTGCCGTTGGGGGTGGGGGGGGTGACACCATTGTGGAAGGCTTCACCATCAGAGGGTGATGTCATCAGGTGACATGAGGCACGAGCTAAAGGTTAAGTGGTGTTTGGCCCAGCGAGTGAGTGGTGGTGTGAGGTGGGAGTGTTGCCAGCAGAGGGAATGAAGAGGGAACATCACCCTGACAGTCCCTCTCTACCTCTTCCGCAGGATCCGGGGCACCAGCTACCAGAGCCCCCATGGCATCCCCATCGATCTGCTGGACCGGCTGCTCATCGTCTCCACCACCCCCTACAGCGAGAAAGACACAAAGCAGATCCTCCGCATCCGGTGCGGGCAGGACCAGGCCGTGTGCCTGAGAGGCAGGGCTGGGGGCCACCCTGTGGGACAAATGCTGACACTGAGGTCTGGGGGGTGGCATGGTTGCTGGGCCTGCAAGAGAGAGGGCCGAATGGGCACCCAAACAGTGACATCCAGTCTGGGGGGCAGGTGCCACTGTGGGGAAGGGAGGTGAGACGCTGTGACTGGTGTGGGGGTCAGTGCCCTGGGTGGGGTCAGGAGCCCTAGGTTTTAGTTCCAGCCCAGCCCCTGTCTCCATAGTTCTTCCAGCCTTAGCATTCTGTGATTCTAAGATGCAGGCACCACACATCCCAGGGGTGGCTGCGGCCACTCCTGCTGCAGTCAGAGGCCAGGCCCTGGCTAAGCCATCCCGCCCCCACTGCCTGCAGGTGTGAGGAGGAAGATGTGGAGATGAGTGAGGACGCCTACACGGTGCTGACCCGCATCGGGCTGGAGACGTCACTGCGCTATGCCATCCAGCTCATCACGGCTGCCAGCCTGGTGTGCCGGAAACGCAAGGTCAGCCAAATTCGCCAGCAGGGCCAGATGGCCGGCAGGAGCAAGGATGCACTATTTCAAGGGCTTCCGGGGGTTCCGTGTTTCATCCTAGAATGTACATTTTCAGGGGCAGGGAATTTTCATTCCTCAGGTTGATTTCTGTGTCGCCTGGCCTAGCCTATAGTAGGTACTCAGGAAGGCCGGGCGCGGTGGCTCACGCCTGTAATCCCAGCACTTTGGGAGACCGAGGCGGACGCATCACCTGAGGTCAGAAATTCGAGACTAGCCTGGCCAACATGGAGAAACCCCATCTCTACTGAGAATACAAAACATTAGCCTGGAGGCCGTGTAGATGGTGGCGCATGCCTGTGATGCCAGCTACTCGGGAGGCTGAGGCAGGAGAATCACTTGAACCCAGGAGGTGGAGGGTGCGGTGAGATCGTGCCACTGCACTCCAGCCTGGGCAACGAGCAAAACTTCATGTCAAAAAAAAAAGTAGGTGCTCACTATATCTCTGTTGACTGTAAGTAGATGCTGTTAGGTCCATCTTACAAGTAAAGAAACAGAGGAGGCCGGGCGTGGTGGCTCATGCCTATAATCCCAGCACTTGGGGAGGCCAAGGCGGGCAAATCTTAAGGTGTAGAGTTCCAGACCAGCCTGGCTAATGCGATGATACCCTGTCTCTACTAAAAATGCAAAAAATTAGCCAGGTCTGGTGGCATGCGCCCGTAGACCCAGCTACTCAGGAGGCTGAGGCAGGAGAATTGCTTAAATCTGGGAGGCGGAGGTTGCAGTGAGCCAAGATGGTGCTACTGCACTCCAGCCTGGGCATGATTCGAGACTCCGTCCCAAAAAAGAAAAAAGCTGAGGAATGAAGAGGCTGGGCCCACACCCAGTGGATAGCCAGGCAGGATTTGAACACAGGCAATCTGGCCCAGAATGCCTTCCCCTCACCTGCTACCCGCTGCTGCCTGGAGCTGGAGGTGGCATAGGCTGGGGTCTGTGCTGTGGGCCTTACGAGGAGGGTCCCCACTGAGGACTTGCCCTCCCCCTCCAGGGCACAGAGGTACAGGTGGACGACATCAAGCGGGTCTACTCACTCTTCCTGGACGAGTCCCGCTCCACGCAGTACATGAAGGAGTACCAGGACGCCTTCCTCTTCAATGAGCTCAGTAAGCGTCCCCACCCCGTACCTGCACTGCCAGTGCCACCCCCAGAGGGAGGAAGAGGGAGCTCGGCCTAAAAGGCTCAGGCCCTGCCCTCTGGGCCACACTGACCATCTGGCCTTCCTTCTCCCCATAGAAGGCGAGACCATGGATACCTCCTGAACTGGATGTCACCCCCGTCCCCACCCTGTTTTCTACCAGAGTTCTGACACTGTGACTTTATATAAAGTTGTTTTGAAGCTGGTCCCACCCTGTGTGTGTGTGGTTGCCCTGATTCCAGAGAAAGACACCCCCAGAGTGCGGATTGAGAAGCCTTTATTGTGGGACTAATGGAGGGTCTGCTGGCTCCAGGAGTTGGGATGGACTTGTAAGGTTGCGGGGAGGGTCCTTAGAGGAAGAGTCCTGGAAGGTGGAGTAGTCACAGCCCAAGGGCTCGTTCCTGAGACTCCCGCAGTCAGAATAGCTTCGGCGGCAGAGTCCACAGCGACAGCTGAGAGCCACGGGCATGGAAACTACGGGATCCACGCCGGGCCGACAGCCAGGGAGCCGGACAGAGGTGAAGCGCAGCTCGTGGTAGTTGCACACCGACTGGGGTAAGGGCGGTAAGATGGTCTGCAGCACCCGTACCTAAGGCCATGTGGGTGGGCGAGTGGGCATGTGTCTAGGGGCCAGCACCTCAGCTGAGCACCCCAGCTCCCTCCACAGGTCCCAGACTCAGATGTCCAGGAAGCCCTCTGTTCCTGCCCTCCAGCCCCATTTCCCAACCCCTGCCCAGAGAGCCAGACCACCCTTCCCCATGCCTCTGTGGGCCCCGCCCTGTGGTGGCAGCACCTGCCCCTGGTCCTGGGCAGCTCACCATGCTGGAGCAGTAGCCGGCACAGATGGTGGTGTTAAAGGCGACACACACAGGGCAGCCCTCCTTCTCAGCAGCCAGGATGGCATTGACGGGGCGACACAGTGGCCGAAGTGGCTCCTTGGATGCCCATGCCCCACCCGTGCTCAGCAGCAGACACAGCAGCAGCCCCTGGGACAAGACAGGTGCTTCAGCCGGGCCTGAGACTGAAGCCCTGAGCCCTGGCCCATCCCCAGGGGTACACCATCCTCAAGGACCCAGGAACCCTGCCTGGCATGTCTTATTCAGGACCTGCCACCCAGACACTTGCCTTTCAGAGCCCACCCCACAGCCCAGAGGACCTGAGATGTCCCAACATTTCAGTTCCCCACCCTCAGGGACTTCTCCACCTGAAGCTTACTTCAGGGTCACACCCCTCCAGAAAAAGGCCTCCTTCCCCAGCTCACACGACTCTGCCCCTCTGCCCCTCTTCATGCTGGTGATGGCCTGGAGGGAAGTGGAAGGTACCCAGGGTCCTTGCAGTCTTACCTGGAGCATCTCCATCCTTGGTGCCTCCCCTGCCTCGTGTACCTGGCTTTATACCTCGGGGTTGTGGGGGCGACAAGGCCACCAGGTGGTGGTAGCATCCTGGGGTAACCTGGACACTAATCCCCCCCGGGGGCGGAAGGCGGACAAGGCCAGGGAGACGCAGCAGTGGCTCAGTGGAGCGCTCCAGCCCTCTCCCCGCAGTGGCTCCAGCGCCAGGGGTGAGGCGGAGACCACGGTGAAGTGACCTCAGACTTGGTTGAGTCGGCGTTGGAGGCACAGGAAGTAGGGTACAGAAAGGCCTCTCCCCGTCTCTTCCTGGGGCAGGGGAGCCAGCAGGAGGCCGTGACCCAAGAAATGTGCTAGACTGAAGCGTCAACCCACCTCCACCAGAGCCATTCCTGCGCCACAGTCCAGATTCCCGGGAGCGCTGCAGCTTCGGTATTAGCTTCTTCTGCCCAGTCAGAGAGGGCCTCCGCGAGACTGCTGCAAGGGGAGCCGCTGGACCCAGATACTCACCGACGAGGGATTCAGCCGGAGCCCCACCTCTCCCTTAGGAACCTTCTCCCACACCACTCTCAAGCTAGGATGCCCGGAGCAGTCCCCAAAAATGAGTGTGGTTCAGGTTATTTAACTCATTATTTAAAACACCCGCAGGGGGCGTGTCCTGCCCCCGGGGCCACAGCCTGCATGAACATTTTCTGAACTTAGTCCCCTCCCGGCGAAGCCGCGGGGCGTTTCTGGGCTAGTACCGCCCGCACATTGCGGATAGATTTAGTGAGTGTGACCCAGGCTCGGTCCAGACCCCGTGTAGTGGGCGGAGCTCCCGGGCTCGGCTCCGCCCAGCGAGCCCGGATCCGGGTCGGCTCCGCCCCTCGGTCCAGGGGGTGTGTCCGGGGCGGGGCGTGCCCGGCCAGCTCACACCACCGCCGGCTTTAAGCTGCCGTAGCTGGAGTTCTCGGTGCTGTAGGCTTTCGGCACGCTGTGGATGCCCGGCAGGGGCTTCCAGTGGGGGCCGCCCCAGGGCGCCTCCAGCGGGCAGAAGCGGTCGAGCGGGCGGAGCGGATGCAGCGGGAGACTGTAGGACTCCTGAGCCAGAGACAAGGCCCCGTCGTGCGGCACGGCCAGCGTCACCGGGCGGGCGCGGGGCACGCGGACCCGTGGCGGTCGGGGCGGCTGCTGCGGTCCGTGCCCCCTGACCTGGGGCATCTCTTCGAAGCTCCAGTAGGTCAGGGAGTCTTTGCGGGGGTATCCCGACAGCTCCTTCCTGTGGGAGCATGGCAGGATGGTGAGGATACAGCTAGATCCTTAGGGACGAGGTTCAGACCCCGGGACCTAAGGAGTCTGCACACAGACTCCTGCGTTTCGAGGCGAGGACCCCTTAGGAAGGACGGGACCGGCACGTGTAGCCTGGGTTCCTGGGTCCTCGAGGCAACTTAAGGTCCTGGAAACTGAGCTTTCGCATCCCAGGGAAGGAAACGGGGGCTTTCACTTCCTTGGGAAGGAGGCCCTGCCCTCCGATGCAGAATCCCCTCTTGTCCTACCGCGGTTCCTGAGAGTTGACAATAAAGATTCCTGGCTGCTAAAAGAGGGAGAGGCGGCCGGGCGCGGTGGCTCACGCCTGTAATCCCAGCACTTTGGGAGGCTGAGGCGGGCGGATCACGAGGTCAGGAGATCGGGACTATCCTGGCTAACACGGTGAAACCCCGTCTCTACTAAAAATGCAAAAGGTTGGCCGGGCGCCTTGGCTCATGCCTGTAATCTCAGTACGGAGGCCGAGGCGGGTGGATCACGAGGTCAGGAGTTCGAGACCAGCCTGGCCAACATGGTGAAAACCCATCTCTACTAAAAATACAAAAATTAGCCGGGTGTGGTGGCGCGCGCCTGTAGTCCAAGCTACTCGGGAGGCTGAGGCAGGAGACTCGCTTGAATCCGGGAGATGGAAGTTGCAGTGAGTCGAAATCCCACCGCTGCACTCCAGCCCGGGCGACAGACGGAGACTCCGTCTCAAAAAAAAAAAAAAAAAAAAAAAAAAAAAAAGGCGGGGGGGAGGTGGTTGGAGCCTGAATTTGGATTTTTACTGATGCAGGAGTCGAGGCTGAGGCTACCGAGTCAGAGAATGGGGGCCACATCAGGGGCTTGGCGTGCACTCGTCTAGGCGGGGGCTGTGCCGGAGGCGGTGTCGAGCGAAGGCCCGGCTTACTCGGGGTAGAACCTAAAGTCCCGCGCCGAGGTGGTCAGATAGAGCTGCCGGCGGGCCAGGACGCCCCGGTCGGATACTATGAAAGGGCAGCCAGATAGCTCGGGGTTCTTCGTCCAGGGGATTAGAGCCTGAGTAAGATTGGGGGAGGAGGCATACCCAAGACATAGAGTTTGTACCTCGTTCCAAGCCCTGGGTCCCGGGCTCAGGATTCCTCTCTTTCGGCCCGGACAGCCCTGCCGGCCCCGGCCCTCGCACCCCGCCGCAGAGGCAGAGCCCTTCCTGCCACTCACGCCAGGTCACTAAAGCGTTCTTCCTCAAACCCGCCCTTCCCAGCTTCACCTCCCCAAATCCAAACACGTCCTGCTGATCAAGGAACTCAAACCCATGCCCCCAGCCACCAAATAAACGCCCCTGGTTCCGCCCCCGGCCCCAAGCCTTCTTGGTGTGGCCACTGGAGCTGAGCCGCATCTGGGGCAACAACTCCACGTTACCTCTCCCAACTCCCACCCGACCCCGTCTCAGAATATTCTAGTCTCGTCCCCCTCCACAGCCCGCCGCCTAGCTCCGCCACAGCTTTAGAGACCAGAAGGCAAGTTTACAGCCCACTGGTCCTTCTGGCCCCCCTCGAGGCCCCGCCCGCCCCCCCCCCCCCCCCACGGCTCTCCCAATCTCCGGATCCCGCCCAAGACCTTTTAGCCACGCCCCCAAGCCGTGATTCCTTCTGGCCCCGCCCCAGGCTCCCCGAGCTCCGCCCCGTCTCGCCGGCGCCGGCTTTCAGCCAGCCACCTGGAAAGGCCCCCCTAGGTGATGGTCTGCGAGCTGCGAGGGCTGGAGCCCGACGTTTTCGGGGGCGCGTGGGTCCCGGCCGGGATAGCCAGTGTACTGCGCCTTCGTCTCGCTGCTCTGGTATTTTGTGGTCAGTGGGAGGCGCCAGCCGCGGTGTCTGAGCTGCGGAGAGGTGACCGGGAGACCCAAGTGAAGGCGCCGGGGACTCAAATGCAGTCTCCTGCCTGTCCCCTGCGGACTCCGGCACCCCCCAAACCTTACCTTTTCTCCTAAATCCTTGATCCCCACAGTCCGCGTGGGGTCTGCAGGCTCTGGGGCTCTGGGCTGGGCGCAGGGCCCGCCATGGGTCTTGGGCACATAGGCCGAGCCAGAGGTTGTCTCCCATCTGCTGAGGACCTCGTCGAAAGCACAGATGCCAGAATCCTATTTTGCAGCCAGGGGTAGAGGGTCCGCGACCGTGGACTGGAGAGAAGGCGCTACACGTCAGCTAGGAAGACTCAGTAGTCCGTATCACCCCCCCACCCCAAACTCTTCCAGTTGGCCCCCGATCCTGTCCTCTGCAGTCCCTGGCATCCAGCTTCCCTGGCGCCTCCTCTTGCAGACCCAGGACCCCTGGACCCTCCTCCTTCAGGCAGGAGTCCAAGCCGCCAATCCCTTTCACTCAGCACCCAGCTTTCTAGGTCCTCAGGCCCCCAGGGCTTCATCCTAGGGTCCGCGCACCTGCACCGTGGGTGAGGGGAAGGGCGCCGGTGGGATGATGCGATGGGCAACCCAGCTGCTGGTGAGATTCCAGTTGGGCCCGGATCCAGGCACCTCGGCGGCAGAGATAGGAGACCACGGGGAGCCACAGCACGGAGCCCGGGTGCCACTGGTCATGGTTCCACCCCCATCCCGGAGCCAAGCAGGAGCTGGCTTGTTTGTTGCTGTTGCCCTGGGTGACAGAACCCTCCCATCCTGAACCCAGCCAATGAAGGGCCTGCAGGCATGTGGATGGAAAGCGTGAGAAAGAGACCCAGAGACCGAGGGACTGGGACCCCGGGAGGGCCACAGAACAGCACGGGGAGGCGGATGGAGACTCAAAGCGAGGAGGGCAGAACGGGAAGGAGAAGTTCAGAATTTCAAAGACCCAGGGGGTGGAGGAGACAGAAACCCAGAAAGAGGGACAGAGACCTGGGGGTGTCAGAGATCCAGGCAGAGACCCCTGCACTGCACCCAGCACATCCGGGCATCCATGAGAAACACCCTCTCCCTTTCCCCCAGGATCCAGATGCTCCGTGCTGCTTTCTTCCTCTGCCAGGCCTACCCACCTCGAGGTAACGATTTCCAGACGTTCCGGGGCTCCCCCACCCTCCCTGCACGTGCTGAAGGAGTCAGGCTGGCGTCGGCTGTCCTGCCTGCCTTTGATTTGGTTGAAAACTTCCACCTGGGTAGGCAGGGTGGGCAAAGATGGAGAGACCCACAGAGAAGTGCACAGGGACATAGCAAAAAAGAGGGGTGTGTGGAAAGAGCTTTGATGAGTGAGAAAGAAATACAACAAGAAAGGGGAGAGACAGTGAGGAAGAAACTGACCATGATGGAAGGAAAGCTCTTAATACTAACCCAGAGGCCAGCTACACCGGAAGTTAGAGGCAGAGGTGAAGGCGGCAAGAAAGAGCAAAATCACAGATGGAAAAGAAGGAGATGTAGAAATCGAGGCAACCAGGCCGCCCCCGCCCCCAAGGGCCTGGTCTGTATAGATTAGAGGAGGGGATGCCTACATCCTTTGCTCAAAACTGGATGCTGGACCTGAGAGAGAGAGAGAGAGAGAGTGTGTGTGTGTGTGTGTGTGTGTTGGCAACACGTGGGGCATGTGATCTGTCCCTGACTTCCCTTGTCACTTCTTCACTCTAAAGAGCTTTTGGTCATTGGGTGCAGTGGCTCCTGCCTGCAATCCCAGCACTTTGGGAGGCTGAGGCAGGCAGATCACTTGAGGTCAGCAGTTTGAGACCAGCCTGGACAACATGGCAAAACCCTGCCTCTACCAAAAAAATACAGAAATTAGCCAGGCATGGTGGCACACTCCTGTAATCCCAACTAAGGCAGGAGAATCGCTTGACCTGGGAGATGAAGGTTTCAGTGAGCTCAGATTGCAAGATCGCATAACTGCACTCCAGCCTGGGCGACAGAGCAAGACTCAAAAAAAAAAAAGAGCTTCTGCCTCCTTGAGCCTCATTATCTCATCCCACTAGCCCATTCGTCAGACCAGGAAAACTGAGGCTACCTTCTGTTGCCAAGCCCAGAATCTTACTGATCCCTCCTCCCCCATTGAGGATTCTGGGGCCCCTTCTGTTGAATTTTGCTGGCCCCACTCAAAGGCTGCCAATGCCCAGTGGCCCCTGATCCTAGCCAGGGCGCAGGCCAGTTAGAACCTCATGTACCACTCAAGCTGGACAATTTTTTTTTTTTTTTGAGATGGAATTTTGCTGTTTTTGCCCAGGCTGGAGTGCAATGGCATGCCCTTGTCTCACTGCAACCTCTGCCTCCCAGGTTCAAGCGATTCTCCTGCCTTGGCCTTCCAGGTAGGTAGCTTCTGCCCGCCACCATGCCCAGCCAATTTTTAAAAATAATTTTAGTAGAGATGGGGTTTCACCATGTTGGCCAGGCTGGTCTCGAACTCCTGACCTCAAGTCAGCACCCACCTCGGCCTCCCAAAGTGCTGGGATTACAGGCATGAGCCATGGTGCTGGCCATCAGGCTGGATGATTGATCTATATCTTTTCCAGTGTAAGGTAAAGGTTGGGACACGGAAGAGGGGTAGAAACCTGATTCCAGCTCCCCGCCCGGGGCTGAACTCTCCAGCATCCTGATCACTTCTCATTCAACCTTGCTTGTACTCCCCCTGGGATGGGTGGCTCATTACCTCAAAGCAGAATATTCCAAGCCAACCCCTGTGTTCTCTCACCAAGTAAGATTTCCCATTTGAACCCCAGATCCCTGAAGGTCTTCTGTGGATCATATTGTCAGGTCCCCCAGCCAGCGGCTTGCATGTTCTAGGTTCTATCCTCCCCAACCCACATCTGGAAATGTCCCCTCCCCCTCTCCAGGATGAGCAAGGTGGTGTCCTCTGAGACTGAGTAGTCAGCAATTTAACCCCAAGGGCCACCAATGATCATATCCATGAGAGTTGATCTGAGGAGTTATGTATTAGGACTAAGAAACAGTAAACGCTCAGTAAATATTGGCTGTTATTATTATCACCATCATCATCTGTGGGAGAACTCCTATTCATCCTTCAAAACCCCATGTGGTTTCACCCATCCTGCACAGTTTGAGCTGAAAATCAGAGACTCATGATTTTGTGATCATTCGATGAGTTCCCAAACTGGAGTCCTTGGAGCAGCCGGGCCACCCCTGAGGTGTCTCAACATCCAACTCTGATCTTTTCCTGCCTGGCCAGTTCCTGGGCATGGGCCTCAGGCCCGGCCAGTCCGGCTGAGTAGAGTGCAGACGCAGGCAGTGTCAATTCGAATCCATCGCCAGCCCACACGGCCCTGGGCATCAGCAGTCAATGCCCGCACATAGGACTGCTTGGCCTTGCACTCAGACACCCAGTGCCTCCGATCCACACCTCGGCAGCCCCCTCCACCCACCCCCGGGCCACCTTCCTCAGTGTTATCAGCCTTGCAGCGGGTTTCAAAGAAGTACTGGCGGAGGGGACTGCCGCCAGCTGCAGGCACCTCGCCCAACACCTCCACCTCACGCCCACGCAGGTCCACAGCGGTCCGACGGTCTGTCACCCAGCCGCTGACTGCGTCGCACACGGCCAGCTCTCCCCGACGACTCGCTGGTGCAGTTTCGCTCACCCCACGCCGGCTGCGGTTGGCCGGGGTGCCTGCTGACTCCCCAAAGGCCCCAGCCTCCAGCAGCAAGAGCAGAGGGGGCCCGGCAGGGGCACCCCTAGACAGGACCACTCGGGGAGACAGAAGGTCCCACTCAGGGGCCAGAAAAGGGGGCAATGTCGAGGGTGGGGGTTGGGACTCCATTGGCACACTGGGGAGGAGGAAGAGGAAGAGGATGGGGAGGGAGCATGAGGGCAGAGGGAGCATTTCTCGGAGCACCTGGAGACAGAAGAGGGAGGCTGGGATTAGAGAAGAGGGTTAAAAACGTCAGTGGGGACAGAAGTTGGGAACCCCAGGGGAGGCTTGCCTGCTAGGACTGTGGGGAAGCCCTTGTTCCAGAAGTTTGAAGGACCCTATATTTAGGACTTGTGTAACACCCAACTTGTAGATTAATAATAAATATTCAACTACTACTGGCCAGGTGCTGTGGCTCACGCCTGTAATACCAGCATTTTGGGAGGCTGAGGTGGGCGGATCAATTGAGGTCAGAGGTTCGAGACCAGCCTGGCCAACATGGTGAAACCCATCTGTACTAAAAATACAAAAATTAGCTGGATGTGCTTCGGAAGGCTGAATCCCAGAGGCAGATATTGCAGTAAGCAGAGATTGTGCCACTGCACTCCTGCCTCAGCCTCCTGAGTAGCTGGGATTACAGGTGCCCATCACCATGCCCAGCTAATTTTTGTATTTTTAGTACAGACAGCGTTTCACCACGTTGGCCAGACTGGTCTCGAACTCCCTACCTCAAGCGATCCTCCTGCCTTGGCCTCCCAAAATGCTAGGAGTACAGGCATGAGCCACTGCGCCTGGCCCCAAACAAATCTTTTTAAGATGAGGTCTCTATATGGTTCCCCACTGGACTTGAACTCCTGGGCTCAAGCAATCCTACTGCTGCGGCTCCTGAGTAGCTGGGACTACAGACTGAAGCTGCCACACTTTGGATACATTCCAAAATTTTGAGAAAGGCAACCATCTGGAATCCTAGGAAGACCCCAGTTTACGTCAAAACTGCTACTAAGGAGGTAAAATCCTGCCCGTGTGAGACAGGCTTCAGTTTCCCTGTGTGTGAGATTGACCTGGCTCTGGGTCAGAGCCGGGTAGGGGCATGGATATTGCCGTTTCTCTGCATCGTTCGGGAAGCCTGTGGTTCTGGGAAAGGGTGCTGTGTAGAAGACTGCGAAACAGCCAGTGGTGACCAGACCTGTCAACACCTCCTCCACCTCCAAGCTCTGGGGCTGGGAGCCCCCAGTCTTCGGGGGGCCCCTGTGGAGGACACCGGTGGCCCCCTCCTTCCTGACATCTCAGGAGAGGGAGGGGGCAACCACCTAGGAGAAGAAAAGAACAGACAGGTTATAGAGGCAGGTGGGGAAGGGGCGGGATCCCTGAAAAGCCTCTTCCCAGAATTCCTCTTCAAGCGCAGGGTACCCAAGAGTCAAGGCCCCGCCCCCTTTCCAGAGGCCCCTTTTCTAACCAGGTGATGGCTCCTGGCTGGGATGGGAAGCAGATGGAGGGAGGGGAGGGGAGGGGAGGGGAGAGGCAGTGGATGAAGGAAGCTAGAATAGATTACATCCCCCTCGGCCCATTCATCTCCCAGATGGGGCGGAACTGGCCTGGACACCCGGGTCCCTGAGGGCCCACAGTCAAGAAGCCCTGGGTCCCCAAGCTGCTTCCTGGAATGTTCCCTCCTCACAGGACAGGCCAGGGCCCGCCCAAGACTTCCGCACATACCTGGAGTGGCTGCCTGCCCCGGCTCCACGGTAGGGAAAGGGGAAGGGTGGGGAGTGAAAGGCGCGCAGGCTGACCCAAGCAGGACCGCCTTCTCCCTCAGACTCGGGAGTGCAGATCCCGGGCCTCCACCTTCAGACCCAGGAGTTCAGGTCCCCAGCGCCCTCTTCCCTCAGACCCAGGAGGAGTCCAGGCCCCCAGCGCCCTCCACTCAGACCCAGGAGTTCTGGAATTCAGGCTTCTCCTTCTCGGGTACTAAGAAATGCGGACTCCGGGTTCTTCATCCTCGATTTGGGTTGGGGGTCTGGACTCCTGAGACCCCTTGGGGGAGGCCGGCTGCATCTCTGGGACACGTCCCCTCCTGCCTCAGTTTCCTCCGCAAAGCCCCGCCCCCGTCGGCCCCGCCCCCGTCCCTCCCCACCCGAGGGCAGGGCGACCCGGACGCCGGAATCCCGGGGGAGGAGGCGCGGAGCTCTTACCTGGGGCGCCCTCCTCGGCTCCCCCGGCTGCCCTCGGCCCGGCAGCAGCTCCTCCTCCTGCTCGCTGGCTGCAGGGACGCCCGCTGGCCCGCCGGCTCCTCTCCGCTCTCGCTCAGCAGGCCCGGGTCGGGGGCGGGGGCGGGGCGGCGCCCGACGGCGGAGGAGGGGCCGGGGGATCCTGCCTTGCACACGCGTGCCGGGACCTTGGAAGCCAGGCCTGGCTCGCTCAGCCCGGCCGCCTCGGTCCCGGGAGTCCCAGCCTCCAGCCGCGTCCTCCCTCAGACCCAGGAGCCCAGGCCCCCAGCTCCTCCTCCCTCAGACCCAGGAGCCCAGGCCCCCAGCTCCTCCTCCCTCAAACTCAGGAGCCCAGGCCCGCAGCCCCTCCTCCCTCAGACCCGGGACTTGCGACCCCAGCCACTTCTCTCCCCAGCCCCGGGAGCCTGAGTACTAAGCCCACAGTTCCCCCCACCACCTCCCAACCCCGCCCCGTCTCAGACTCTGGAGTCCAGCCCCCAGCCTCCTCCTCCATTAGCCCCAGGAGTCTGGGCCTGAGATTCCTTTGCCGTCTTTTGCCAATTGCGTGTCAATCCCGGGGCAGATTCCCACCCTCTGCTCTCCTCCCCACTTCCCAGGAGCTCCACGCTAGACATTAACCAGCTGGGCTTGGGCAGTGATAAGGCCCCTGGCCCGGGGAGACAGTGGATGTGGGGGCTCCTGCATACTCCTCTCCCCTGGAATTTCCTGGGTGGGGACCGGGGAAAGGGTCTTGTCCTGAGCTCAGATAAGAGACCTGCGGGGTATCATAGGACCCAGAGGTAAACAAAGATGTGTCTTAAGAACAGAATGAACTGCTTCCAGAAATGGTGCGCGGTGACAGATGAAGGGAGAGATGGGAGAAGGCATGGAAAAGTGGGGAGACACCCAGAGAAAGAGGGGGACCAAGGCTAGAGAGAGCGGGGACCCAGAGAGAGTGAGGGCAGACCCCCCAAAAGAGGGGGACAGAGCCCCTGAGAGACCCTCAGAAAGACAGGGATGGGACCGGAGCTGGAGTGTCTCTGGAGAGACAAGAGGTCTGCGGGGCCCGCACCCCATCACACCTCCACCCTGAGACTCCCCTCCCCTCCGCCTGCGCTATTTTCAGAAGGAAAACTGACACCTGCCTCGGGGGTCATCCCGCACCCCCCAGCCTAAATATAGCATGGCAAGGTGGCAGGAGGGTGTCCCCGGGTTAGGGTGTTTCCTGCTCCTCACCATCCCAGCCAGGGCGACACCCAAGGCCGCTCCAGTTATTTATTGGAGGGGGGAAGGGCCACTCCCCAGGCTTTAAGTGTGTGTTCAGGTCACCTCTCAGACTTCTCCACACTTCCCCGTCCCTAAACACCCAAGACATCCCACCACATAGCAGGAGGACTCTAGCTGCTAACTTCTAGTCCTAGAGGGGATAGTAGGTATGAAGTTTCCAGAGTGACTGGGAAAGTCTCTGTCCCCCATCTCCAAGTCTCTGTCCCCCTCTCTCTAGGTATCTGTCCCCTTCTCTCTGGATTTGTCTCACTCCAACCCTGGATTTTTCTTTCTTTCTCTGGGTCCTAGTCTCTGGGTCTCTATCTCCCTCTCTCTCTGGGTCTCTGTCCCTGCCCTCTCTCTCTGGGTCTCTGTCCCCCCCCCGTCTCTGTCCTCCCCCCCGGGTCTCTGTCCCCCCCCTCTCTGGGTCTCTGTCCCTGCCCTCTCTCTCTGGGTCTCTGTCCCCCTCTCTTTCTGGGTCTCTGTCCCCCCCTCTCTCTGGATCTCTGTCCCCCCACCGGGTCTCTGTCTCCCCTCTCTCTGGATCTCTGTCCCCCCCTCTAGGTCTCTGTCCCCCCCCTCTGGGTCTCTGTCCCCTCCCTGGGTCTCTGTCCCTCCCTCTCTCTGGGGCTCTGTCCCCCCCTCTCTGGGTCTCTGTCCCCCCCAGGTCTCTGTCCCCCACTTTCTGGGTCCCTGTTTTCTTCTCTCTGGTTATCCGTCCACCCTCTCTGGGTTCCAGTCTCTTCTCTGAGTCTCTTGCATCCTCTCTGTTGGGGTCACTGTCTGCTTCCCTTTCCCCTTGTGGGGGCCTCTGTCCCCACTCCCGGCCATCTGCCCTCTTCCCCCTCGCCCTTGACTTTCTCTCTTTTGCTCCGAGCTCCTCCTCCCTCCCCAGCCTGGGCTCCTCTCTCTGTCTCCTCTTTAGGTCTCTGTGCTGGAGTCCACCTTGTCTCTCGTCACTGTGAGGCCCGTCTCCATTCTGTCCCTAAATGTGGCTTTCTCTCCATTTCACAGACAAGGGACTACCTAAAGCTTCTATTCATTTCAACCATGAGCAAACTCTTTCTACCACCTGTGCCTTCATCCCTTTAGCTGCATGAAAATGGACTCAGATGAAACCAGGGCTTTCCGCATGAATTCCTGTGCTGCATTTTGAGTTGCCGAGAGGGGGCATGTTCTCCTCCAACAATTTCCCTTCTGATGCTTCCCACCGGTGTCTCTAAGGAAGATTTATTTAACCCCAAAAAGGGGTGTGTATGGCTAAAAATAACAACAACACTCTAAACCACTGGATAGGTTTTAATAAATTAATCCAAGTAAAGAACTTTGTGCCAAAGGAAGCCCCATATGTGTTTGATTTCAACCTTCCTCCTCCTCCTCCTCCCTTAAATGCCCTTCGAGTTCTGAAAGACTTCTGAAAATGTTCAGCCTTGTGACCTTGGGTAACACGCGCTCCTCTGAGCCTCAGTTTCCCTGTCTGTAAGAAAGGCGGCTATGGGACTCAGGAGGACCCGTGTGTCCCAGCAGGCTGACGGGGACATGTGAAGCAGACAGACAGCCTGCCTGGCCCCTGGGGACAAGCTGTGAGACCTTGGGAAGCCACTCCTCTGCTCTGAGACTCAGGTTTCTCCCCGGGAAGACAGAGTGAGGCCCCCAGCCTGTCTGACAGCCTTCCTGAGCTGCGGGGAGAGTGGGCTACACACCTGGTTTAGGGTCACTCTGTGATTCTATGGAATAGAGACTGTGCATTACTCTTGGGTTCAGGGGCACCAACTTTTTCTGCATTTTTTTGTCTTTCTTTCTTTTTTTTTTTTTTTTCAGACCGAGTCTTGCTCTGTTACCAGGCTGGAGTGCAGTGGCAGGATCTCAGCTCACTGCAACTTCCACCTCCCAGATTCAGGCAATTCTCCTGCCTCAGCCTCCCGAGTAGCTGGGACTACAGGTGCCCGCCACCAGGCCTGGCTAATTTTTGTATTTTTTAGTAGAGATGGGGTTTCACCATGATGGGCAGGATGGTCTCGATCTCTTGACCTTGTGATCCGCCCACCTCGGCCTCCCAAAGTGCTGGGATTACAGGCGTGAGCCACCGCGCCCAGCTTTTCTGCCTTTTCTATTTTGATTCTCTTTCCCTGAGACTCTGTTGATCTGTCTCCAACTCTGGTAGCCTGACACTGCCCTCTGGGTCTCTATCCCCCAACTCTTTTTGTATGTTTGTTGAGATGGGGTCTTGCTCTGTCCCCCAGGCTGGAGTACAGCAGTGCAATCTTGGCTCAGTGCAGCCTCTACCTCTCAGGCTCAAGGGATCCTCCCGCCTCAGCTTCCTGAGTCGCTGGGATCACAGGCATACGCCACCACACTCAGCTAATTTTTGTATTTTTTGTAGAGAGAGGGTCTCGCCATGTTGCCCAGGCTGGTCTTGAACTCCTGGCCTCAAGCAATCCCCCTTCCTTGGCCTCTCAGAATGCTGGGTTTACAGGCGTGAGCCACTTCACCCGGCTTCTATCCCCTACTCTTGGTCTCTGTCCCCTTCTCACTCTGGATTTCTGTTCCCCTCTTCTGCGTCTCTGCTCTACCCCCCTCCAGGTCCTTATCTCCCTCTCCCTGGGTCTCTGTCTCTCTGGGTTTCCATCTCTTCCTCTTTCTGGGTCTCTATCCCTCGCTGGTCTCTCTCACTATCCTTTTGGTTCTGTCCCTCTATCATGTCTGAACAGAGTGCGGTTTTCTCCCCCTCTCCCCCTTCCCTTGGGGCTCTGAGCTCCATGTCTGAGTGAAAGACTGTAGGGGAGAATGGGGTGAACGGCACAACGAAGTGGATGTGGATAAACGGGGGGAGCATCCACCTCTTCCTAGTTCACCCCGATCGCCTCTGATGAACACCCAAACCCATGGATACAAAATGCAGTCCCACCTCCTGCAGTGAGCTGGGGAGCCAGCTCAGTACATCTCCCACAGCCCTCGCCACTGCATTTGCTCCCTAATATATGATGCTCCCCCGCTGCTATTACCTTTGGGTCCTGGTGCTACCACGAAACTCCAAACAACCCAATGTAGCCCTATGGAACTCATTCACACGGTCCAACTCAACCCAGCTTCCTATAGGACTCACATAGTGATACAACTCAATGGAACTCAGCTCAGCATAGCCCTGTGAGATTGAAACAGTGGCGTGACCCCACCGAACCGGCCTTACAGGGCTCATAGGGTTGTACAGTGCAACACGACTCACCTCCCTGTGGCCTATTCAGCCCAACAGAACCCCACGAGATGCATTCGGTCATACACACGTAACCCAGTGTGACCTAGAAAGCTCAAATTCTATCACTTGACTCTTCCCATTTCTACATGACTCACAAGTTCAGAGAACCTAAAATAACATGGCCCTAGAACCGCAAAGCAGCACAATCTCCACCACGTCTCAACGAAACTGAGCACCACGCCTGACCGCACAATCAATCTCAATGATGCCACGGGGGGCCATCTAACTTGACTCACCATGGCCCCAGGGGACCCACCAAACCGCAGAATCCCACACAATACAGCCGGACAACACTCACCCAGACTCACAACCCAACCAAACCCAACATCGACGCAGGAAACTCACGAGATGACATGACCAAACCCGCCTCGACACCACCCACAGGGCTCCACGAGCTCCGTGCAGCTCAGTGTAACAGGAACCCACCGAGTCTCCATCAACACAACACAACCCACTGCCATTCGCTGCTGCTTAGGGAGCTGCCCACAGGAGCTACCGAACCATACCATCCAAGACCGTCCCCCACTCATTACCGCTTAACCTAGCTCTTCCTAAACTCAACCCCCTCCCACAAGCCTTTCCCTCCACCCTGCCCTCCCTCCCTCCCTCTAAGGAGGTGTGAGGTCCCGCAGACCTCAACTGTCCCTCACACTTCGGTGACCAGGTGTTTCCCTGGGGGCGCCCAGAGTGGAGGTGGTAGCTCAGGCACTTCCGAATCCACCAGCCCCCCATTGGCCTTGCCCTCCAATGGGCCACAAGGCTGCGTGTCCACATGGCTGTACATCCCTGCCTCTTCGCCCTCTGTCTCCCGGTGATAAAAGTAGCTGAAATTGGAGACAATGACGGGCACGGGCAGGGAAATGGTCAGCACGCCGGCAATGGCACACAGAGAGCCCACGATCTTGCCACCCACAGTGACGGGTGCCATGTCTCCATAGCCGACTGTAGTCATGGTGACCACTGCCCACCAGAAGGACTCCGGGATGCTAGTGAAATGGGAGTCCACCCGGTCGACTTCGGCAAAGTAGACCGCGCTGGAAAAGAGGACCACACCAATGAAGAGGAAAAAGATGAGGAGGCCCAGCTCACGCATGGAGGCCCGAAGCGTCTGGCCCAAGATCTGCAGGCCCTTGGAGTGCCGGGAAAGCTTGAAGATGCGGAAGACACGCACCAGTCGGATGACTCTCAGAATGGCCAGTGACATGGCCGGCTGGCCCACCCCTCGCTGCCGGGCCAGCTCGGTGCCCAGCGCCACGAAGTAGGGAAGGATAGCCACGAAATCGATGAGGTTCATCACGTTCTTGAAGAAGATCGCCTTGCTTGGACAAGCCAGGAGGCGCACCAGCAGCTCGAAGGAGAACCAGCAAATGCACAGCGTCTCCACCACGAAGAACGGGTCGTTGAAGGGCAGGCGGGGCGCATTTCCAGGCACTAGGCTGGAGCCATTCAGCCGAGCGGGAAACTGCAGGGAGGAAAGTGTTTAGGGAGGGCCAGGCCAGGGCTGGGACACTGGGAGAGCCTTAATCATCGTTTAAATACCCAACTCCTCTTTACACATTGGTCAGTAGCCGCTGCACCGATGTCCCCAGTGACCTGGTTGTCCCAGACTTCCTCCCAGGACCCCAGGGATCATCCCTGGATGAACTTTCTGGTTTCCTGACCTGGTGGTGGCTGGAGAGGTGATCCCTTCCCCTTCGTGCTTGGGAACTTATGTCTGAGTAGGGTGCAACCTCTTCTCTCCCAAAGTCCCACCTCCAGTGTTGATTTTCTAAATGAGGAGGGTCCCTGCCCTGGCCCCACCACCTTGTGCCTAGCTATTCCTTGCCTTGCCCGATCCCAGCCCAGATTATAACACTTAAAGACCTTCTCTACATCCAGGTGCAGTGGCTGATGCCTGTAATCCCAACACTTTGGGAGGCCGAGGCAGGAGGATCACCTGATGTCAGAAGTTCGAGACCAGCCTGGCCAGGATGGTAAAACTCTGTCTCTACTAAAAATACAAGAATTAACTGGGCATGGTGGCATGCACCTGTAGTCCCAGCTACTCGGGAGGCTGAGGCAGGAGAATCGCTTGAACCCGGGAGGCGGAGGTGGCAGTGAGCTGAAGTCACACCACTGCACTCCAGTCTGGGCCACAGAGCGAAACTCCGTCTCAAAAAACAACAACAAAAAAAGACCTTCTCTGCAAGCCAAGCCCTAGGCCCCTCCTCCGGCCCCTCAGCCCAGCTTTCCTTCCATGGATTCCTCCTACTCTTGCACCCTGGGCTCCAGCACCCTCAGCAGTGTTCTCGGGGCCTGCCTTTCATCCACCCCAGCCCATCCTTCCCAGCTGCACAGACCCCAGAGTTTTCAGGCTCTCCTTGGCCCCCTCGGCTCTGATTTTTAATGTTCCTGTCTTCCTACCCCTTGCACCAAGGGCCCTGCCCTCGGCACGCGGGGTTTCTCACCGACCTCAACCCCACCTTCTGACAGGGCAGGTGCTCGGACTGGAACCCTCAGGCCCCGCCTCCAGACCACCCTGTCTTTGGCTGACCCACCCCTCGCAGCCCCGGGCCCCGCCTTATGATTGGCCAGGCCCCCCTGAACCCCGCCCATCTCCTCCCAAACCCCGCCCGTCTCCACCCACGCCCCGCCTCTCACCGGGCCGGCGGCGGCCACCGCGGCGAGCCCCGGGCCATCGCGGTCGTCGCGGAAGTCAGGCAGCGTCTCGAGGCAGAAGACGACGATGGAGACGAGGATGACCAGCACGGAGACCACGGCGAGCACGCGCGCGGCCTGCGAGCTCTCGGGGAACTCGAAGAGCAGCCAGAGCTGGCGCGCGAAGGCGCGGCGGGGCAGGGGGCGCTCGGGGGGCACCGGGCAGCCCTCGTCCTCGCGCAGGCGCGCCAGGGCCGCCGCGCCCAGCCCGTAGAAGGCCACCTCCTCCAGGAAGACGTCCAGCGGCACGTGCGCCGGCCGCCGCAGCCGCCCGCCGGACTGGTAGTAGTAGAGCACCGCGTCGAAGCTGGGCCGGTGCCGGTCGAAGAAGTACTCTCGGCGCGCGTCGTCGTAGAAGCGGCCGCGGCGCGCGGGGTCCCCGAGCAGCGTGTCCGGGAAGCGGCCCAGCGTGCGCGCCCGGGTCTCGAAGCGCAGCCCCGCCACGTTGAGCACCAGCCGCTCGCAGCAGCCGCACGGCGGCGGGCACCGCGGCTCCATGGCGCGCGCAGCCCCAGCGACCCGCGAACGGACGTGTGGCCCCGATGCCCGGCCCGGTGCGGCCCCACCTCGGCCGCCGCCGCCGCCGCCGCCGCCCCAGCCCCAGCCCGGTGTCCGGTGTCCGCGCGTAAAAATAGCCCAGCAGGGCGGCCAGGGCGCGGGGGAGGGGGCGCCGTGACCCCGGCGGGGCGGAGGGCGACAGGGCGACCGCGCGCCCTCTGCCGGGACACCCGCCCTGCCCCGCCGCCGCCGCCGCCGCCGCCCGCTCGGGCTCTGCGCCTCTCCTGCCCCGGGGTCCCCTTTCCCTTCGTCCCTCTGCCGCCAGGATCCTGTCTGCCTCTCTCCGGGTTTCCGTGTGCGTGTGTCTCCTCTCTTTATATGAGACTCTGAGCCCTCGGTTGCCGTCGCCTGTTTTTTTTTTTTTTTTTTTTTTTTTTAGAGACAATTTTTTTCATTTCCTTAAAAAAAATATATATATATATTTAAAAAAAAATATATATATATATATTTTTTTTTTTTTAAGACGGGGTTTCACCATGTTGGTCAGGCTGGTCTTGAACTCCCGACTTCAGGTGATCCGCCCGCCTTGGCCTCCAAAGTGCTTGGATTACAGGCGTGAGCCACCAGGCTCTGCCGGATACACAGTTTCAATCTGTCGCCCAGGCTCTAGTGCAGTGGCGCGATCTCGGCTCACTGCCGCAACTTCTGCCTCCTGGGCTCAAGGGATTCTTCTGCCTCAGCCTCCCGAGTAGCTGGGATTACAGGCGCCACCAAGCCCAGCTAATTTGAGTGTGTGTGTGTATTTTTTTTTTTTTTAAAGTAGACATGTTGGCCAGGCCGGTCTCGAACTTCTGTCCTCAAGTGATCTGCCCGCCTTGGCCTCCCAAAGTGCTGTCAGGCGTGAGCCACCGCGCCCTGCATGGGTCGCCTGTTTGCAGCTCTGTCTCTCACTCTTGTGTGACTGTGTCCGGCTGTGTCTCCTCTGGGGTGTATCTGGGTTGTCTCTGTTGGGGTGTATCTCTGAGTGAGTACCTCTGTGGGTCATTTATTTATGAGATTCGTTCTGGGGGCCTCTGTATGGGTCCCTCTACCAGCCTCTGCGTCTTGGTCTCCGTCTTTATTTTGTCTCTTGGTCTGTCTCCGTTTATCTCTTGTCTCTCTGCGTCTCTTTTTGCTCATTACCTCTTAGCCCTCCATGTCTCTGTCTCGGGGTTCCTCTTCCGCTCCCCTTTGGGTCTCCCCCTAGCGTCTCTAGAGGACTTAGGGTCTCGGGAGTCATATCTCTGAGTCTCTCCCTGACCATCACTCCAGGTCGGTCCTGCCACTTTCCCGGTGGCTGTCCCGTCCTAGGATGACTCTGGCAGCTGTAAACCACTGAGTATGTGGACGCACGCCCCATTCTCTCCCCAGAGTTGGCCCCAAAGTCTCCACCTGGATTCTACGCAAGACAGAATTGAGACCCAGCGGGGCCTGAGCTGTGCTGTGACTCGCACAGGAGGCTGGGCTGGACTGCAATGGGCGGGGCTTGGGAGTGCGGGCCGGGGAGATGCCACAGGGTCATTCCCAGGAACCGAAGGGCGCAGAGACGAGACGGTGGCCTTCTGGTCACTGGTGTCCGGTGACACTGAGTAAAAATAGCCCCATCAAGTGGACTTGGGGGAAGTGGAGGGGATTGGTCATCGCACCTCCCGGGGAAGGGATCGCGGTCGCCCTCTGCTGGGGGTGTGGAGAGAGGCACTAAGGGTTAGAACGCCCTGCTAATCCTGGCCCTCTTTCTCTTCCTGTTTTCCTTCCTTCCCTCCTTCCTTCCTTTCTTTTCTTTGTTCGTTTCTTTCTTTTCCTTCCTTCCCTTCTTCCCTCCCGCCTTCCTTCCTTTTTTTTTTTTTTTTTTTTTTGACAAAGTCTTGAACAGTCACTCAGACTGGAGTGCAGTGGTGTGATCCCAGCTCACTGCAACCTCCACCTCCGGATTCAAGCTATTCTGCCTCCACCTCCTGAGTAGCTGGGATTAGAGGCTCCCACCACCACACCCAGCTAATTATTACATTTTTCGTAGAGACGGGGTTTCGCCACGTTGGCTGGGCTGGTCTCAAACTCCTCACCTCAAGGGATCCGCCACCTCAGCCTCTCAAAAGTGCTGGGATTACAGGTTTAAGTCATCACACTGGCCTTTTCTTTCCTTCCTTCCTTCCCTCCCTCCCCCACTCCCTCCCTCCCTCTTCCCCTCCCTTCCTCCGGGTCCATTGCACCAGCTCCTTCCTTCCTTTCTTCCTTCCATCTCCCCCTCCCTCCCATCTGTTGCCCAGGCTGGAGTGCAGTGGCACAGTCTCGGCTCACTGCAGCCTCCGCTTTCTGGGCTCAAATGATCCTCCCACCTCAGCCTTCTAAGTAGCTGAGAGTATAGGTGTGAGCCACTATGCATGGCTATTTTTGGTAATTTTTCTATAGATGGGGTCTTGCTGTGTTGCCCAGGCTGGTCTCCTACTCCTGAGCTCAGCCGATCCACCATACTAGGCTCCTCGAAGTGCTGGGATTTCAGGTGTAAGCCACCCCACCATACCTACTCTTTTTGGTCCCCTGGATTTCTCTGTCCCCCCCACCCCCAGGTGTTTCTTCCCCCTGTCTGGGTCTGTTTCCATTTGTTTCATGGTCTTTGACCTTCCCTGTCTCTGATCGCTGTCCCCCATCTTTCTGGGCTCTGTCTCCTGTTTTCTCCCATTCTCCTTCCTCCCTCCCTCCCTCCCTCCCTCCTTCCCTCCCTCCCCCCCCCTCCTCCTCCTCCCCTTCTTCTTCTTCTTCTTCATCTTCATCTTCTTTTTCGAGATGGAGTCTGCCTTTGTCACCAGGCAGGAGTGCAGTGGCGCGATCTCAGCTTACTGCAGCCTCTGCCTTTTGGGTTCAACTGATTCTCCTCCCTCAGCCTCCTGAGTAGCTGGGATTACAGGCACCCACCACCACTCCTGGTCTCTAACTCCTGACCTTATGATCCACCCTGCTCAACCTCCCAAAGTGCTGAGATAACAGGCATGAGCCACCATGCCCAGCCAAGGAGCCACTTTACTGCTCAAGAAGTTAGGACAAATTTAAAAGGTAAGCCAGGCCCAAAGGCTCACTCCTGTAATCCCAGCACTTTGGGAGGCTGAGATGGGCGGATTGCATGAGGTCAGGAGCTCGAGACCAGCCTGGCCAACATGATGAAACCCCATCTCTAATCAAAATATAAAAATTAGCTGGGTAGGTTTGCATACACCTGTAATCCCAGCTACTCTGGAGGCTGGGGCGGAAGAATTGCCTGAACCTGGGAGGCAGAGGTTGCAGTGAGCTGAGATTGTGCCACTGCACTCCAGCCTGGGTGACAGAGTGAGACTCTGTCACAAAAAAAAAAAAAAAAAAAAAAAAAAAGGCTGGGTTTGGTAGTGCACATCAGTAATCCCAGGTACTGGTACTTGGGAGGCCAAGGGGGAAGAATCATTTTATCCAAGGAAGTCAAGGCTGCAGCGAGCTATGATCACACCAATGCACTCCAGCCTGGGTGACAGAGCAAGACCCTGTCTCAAAAAAATTAGAAATAAAAAGTTAAGGCTGATTAGTTAGGGAGATTATCTTGGATTATTTGGGTGAACCCACTGTAATCCTAACAGTCTTTTTTTTTTTTTTCCAACCAACGCAATGCTGAAGACATTTTTTTTTTCCTAACGGTCTTTAAAAGTGGGGTGCAGGGGCCGGGCGTGGTGGCTCACCCCTGTAATCCAAGCACTTTGGAGGCCAAGGTGGGTGGATCACCTGAGGTCGGGAGTTCAAGACCAGCCTGGCCAACATGGTGAAACCCTGTCTTTAATATTTAAAAAAAAAAAAAAAAAAGTGGGATGCAGGGCCAGGCACAGTAGCTCATGCCTGTAATCCCAGCACTTTGGGAGGCCCAGGTAGGTGGATCACGTGGTCAGGAGTTAGAGACTAGCCTGGCCAATATGGTGAAACACCGTCTCTAATAAAAATACAAAAATTAGCCAGTCCGGCCAGGCATGGCGGCTCACACCTATAATCCCAGCACTTTGGGAGGCCGAGGCGGGTGGATCACGAGGTCAAGAGATCGAGACCAACCTGGTCAACTACTAAAAATACAAAAATTAGCTGGGCATGGTGGTGCGTGCCTGTAATCCCAGCTACTCGGGAGGCTGAGGCAGGAGAATTGCCTGAACCCAGGAGGCGGAGGTTGCAGTGAGCCGAGATCGCGCCATTGCACTCCAGCCTGGGTAACAACAGCAAAACTCCGTCTCAAAAAAAAAAAAAGAAAAAAATTAGCCGGTGGTGGTAGTTCATGCCTGTAATCCCAGCTACTTGGGAGGTGGAGGCAGGAGAATCACTTGAACCCAGGAGGCGGAGGTTGCAGTGAGCTGAGATCACACCACTGCACTCCGCGTCCTGGGTGACAGAGGGAGACGTGGTCAAAAAAAAAAAAAAAACAAACAAACAAAAGCAGATGAGAGGACAGACATAGAGGAGGTGAGAGAGGAGAGGATGCACGCTGCTGGCTGTGAAGGCACGGGAACAGCCATGAGCCGAGGAATGGGGGCGGCTTCCTGAGCTTGAAAAGGCAAAAAAAAAAAAAGCAAGGAAACAGATTCCAGATTCTCCCCCGGAGCCTCCAGAGAAAACACAGCCCTGCCACCCCGTTTTGGATTTCTGGCCTCTGAATCATATTCTAATAAACTTGTGTTGTTTTAAACCACTAAGTTCCTGGTAAGGTTGTTATAGCCCCAACAAAAAAATAATACACAGACTCTCCCATTCTGCGCCATCAGAGCAGTTGTTTTATTTTTAAAAATGTATTATCGTCATTCTTTTGAGACAGTCTTGCTCTCCAAAAAGTTGCCCAGGCTGGAGTGCAGTGGCACAATCTCAGCTCACTGCAACCTCTGCCTTCTGGGTTCAAGCAGTTCTCCTGCCTCAGCCTCCTGTGTAGCTGGGATTACAGGCACGAGTCACTATGCCCAGGGTTTCACCGTGTTAACCAGGATGGTCTCGATCTCCTGACCTTGTGATATGCCGGCCTCAGCCTCCCAAAGTGCTGTGATGATAGCCGTGAGCCATGGCGCCTGGGGTAAATTCTGTATTTTTAGTAGAAACAGGGTCTCACCACGTCGACCAGGCTGTTCTGGAGCTCCTGACCTCAGGTGGTCTGCCCACCTCAGCCTCCCAGAGTGCTGGGATTACAGGCGTGAGCTACTGCGCTGGGCCTGTTTTGTTTTGTTTTGACTTTTAACTAGTTTTAGCCTTATGGAAGAGTTGCAAAGATAGTACAGACATTTCTTAAATATCCATCTTCCAGGTCCCCTGAATGTTAG